GATCGGCATCTCCACACCCCAATACAATATGTATGTTTTACGATGACAATTATTGCTAAAAATTACATTTATTTTTTTATACCAAAAATCATTATTTTAATGTGCATATCCAAATTTCAAAATTTCAAAATAAATAAAAATTCCAAAGATATGACAATTGAATTATTACCTTTATATAATATCATTATTAAATATAAACTTAAAATTTATCTATATCTAAATCAATCTGCTGAGAATCTAAAAAATTATTTATCACAAAAGTAGATATTAATAATTAAATTAATAAAAATGAAAATAATCAATGATTAAATGTTAATAATTACCATTATTACCAATAATTGTCACTTTATTGGAATTCACAGGTTGGGGAAGGCTTGTAAATTTTAATAATCTGCTAGTATAAACAGCATTTGGATGAATTGTTGCAGTAATTGTTGAAGGATCAAACTTTTTTTCATCCATTTCATCAAACACTTTTCTAATTGATTTTAATTCATCCTGCTGTTCTTTTGGATAATCCCCATAATAAAGTGATTCAACCCAAATCCCAATAAACTTATCAATTTCTTTGGCAGTTGGACGTTTATCTGGATTAGCATCCATGCATCTTAATGCTAATTCAATATAAAATCTTGGAGTGTTGTTTGAAAATCCAGGTCTTACACCTTCACATATTTTCATTGCAAGGCCAAAATCATGTGCAAAATTATTAAAAGGTTGTTGACCGGTTGATACTACAGACATCAGAACTCCAAAACTATATATATCTGATGCTTTTGTATATAATTTCTCTCTTAAAACTTCTGGTGCAACATATGGTAGTACTCCAAATATATCATTTTTGTTTGATGCAGATGCTTGACTAGCTGGGCATGACAATCCCAAGTCTGTAATATACGAACCCCATTTACCCTTTTGAAGAATATTACCACTATGAAGATCATGATGAATAATTTCCTCTTTATGAATATCTATTAAACATCTAATGATGTTGTAAAGAATATTAATTTTGTCATGCCATGTTAAATTTTTAAAACTTCCAGTTAGATAACTTTGATGACTTCCATCTTTTATGTATTCCATTACAAATATATATTCCTTTGTAATTGGATCTTGTGATAATCCATAAATATGAATTATATCTGTATTATTATAAAATTTTGAACCAAAATAACAAATAAATATTTAATTACAATAATAATAATCAATAATATTTTAAAAACAATTTACCTCGTTAAGAAACTCATCAAAAGTATTCTGTGAATTATGTAGTTTTTTTAATGCCACAAGCATATCTTTACTAGTTCTTTCATTATTTTCACGATTTACACTTTTACCACCATTTAACCAAGTAGCTTTGGATATAGTTGAAAACCCACCTTCACCTATCTATTAAATATTCATCATGATGGTCATGATTATTATTCAATAGTAGTAATAATATCAAGGCCATGCAGAAATGAAACTTTTGTCTACCCAGATATCCGGGGTTCACAATAATGAATAAAATCTGATGTTAATCATAGGTATTGAAATTTCCTATCACAAACAATGCAAATGAGTGTCTTCACACCATCTTGTCCCTATGGATTTTTCCACAGGTAGACACTTACACTTGGACAAAACTTTCCTATCTTCCCCTCAGAGCAGGCTTGGCCGTTACCATACGATGGTCAGCATTTGTGTGATATTTGCTTCGTGTCATACCTCTCTAGAACAAAGTTGATGTCTGCAATTGGTTGAAAAATTCTCCAACTCGGGAGGTTGCTGTTTTGAATTTTCCCTGAATTCAGAGTTTCGAGTCCTGGGTTGCTGTCTTGTTAATGCACACTTACTCACCAACAACCCTGCCCCATTTAAATAACAAATTCAGTTGGTCAAACGAAAATTAAAGAGAAACAAAGAAATTATGAAAATGAACAATTTATATATAACACGCCAAACAAAATCTGAACTATTTTATTTTACAGCTTTCTCCTTGATGCAAGTGATCATGGTGAGGAATGGGCAGAGTCAATCTGCCACCTTGTATTTGTAAGATACATGCTCTCATTGAGCTACACTCCTCCAACCTAGGGTGGGTTATATGGGAAAAAAGCCACCGTTTAAAAAAAAACAAATTCAGTTGGTCAAGAACATAAAATTTATCGAAATGGTTAATTTATATATAAAATACAAAACAAACAAAATCTGAACCATTTTATTTTACAGCCTTCCTCTTATCAGAGCCCAAGTGTAAATTCAGAGTCACCAACCATACTCTGAATTACAGCTTCCTGTGCTTGAAATGAGTTAGATTCTCGTTACTTTGACGGGTCTGGGTGTTTATGCACACTTAGTATTACAACTTTTCAAAGTTTCTCAATCGTAGAACCATCCTTACCCTAGAGATAGGATCGTTACAGGCGACTTTTCGGCTAACATGGCAAGCCTTCTCTGGTCTGGATGGATTAATGCAGTCTTGGTAAACTCCAGTGCATCTTTCCTGCTCCCTGGAATTCAGTTGCATCATTGTATCATCAGGTGCAAGTCAGATTAGCCTTGTATACACGAGGAATGACTGTGTTTAAAGTAGCACATGTGCTTTAACACCTGCCAATTTCCAATAATCAAACATTACATATCAAAATGTTTTGTTTCTTTTTCATACTTGCCTTGACATCTTCTTGTAATATTATGATTACGAAAAGCAAAAATACCAATCATCCATTTATCATCATCAAGAATTTTGTAATTACCCTGCAAGCTCTGCTCGCGTTTTGATTTAAATTATAATATTTAATAATAACTAAAGATATATCAATGCAAATTAAAAAAAAGTACTCTGGTTAATTATTAACGCATCTTTAGGCCCAAACCATACCAAACAAACCACACTCATGTTTGTCATCTTGGACTCTGTCAAAAATATAAAAATTGTGCGTTTTTATATGTTGCATATAAAAATTTCCAAATTCGAAACATTTAAAGTTTATCTGAAAATTTTAAAAGCTAACTCTGGAACTAATAATTTCTTTTAAAATTATCTTGATAATGGATTGTAGAATAGTCAATAGCTATCAAATATCGTCTCTATTTTTTTTTTCAGATAAACATTAAATATTTCATTGTTTAACTTTAAAGTTATTTGATGTGTTAGAGTGACCTGCACCATACAAAGCATGAAACTTAATATTAATATGATGAAATGATTAATTTTTCTTTATTCACAAATTTATTGTTATTTCTACCAAATTATTTTTACAAGAATAACAAGGTTTATAATAATAAGAAGGTACATTACTGTTAAATAGCTGAACTTCATGGAAGATTTACATTGTCTAAAGTCTTATCAAGTCTACTCAATATTGAATTATTAGTATTAGATTGATTTTCACCAATTAATCTGAATTATCCGACAATCATTTACTAACTTATTTAAAATATTTCTGAGGATGAGTAACTGTTATTATTAGACATTTCGAAGAATTATTTATTTATTTTTGGTAAACTTCGCCGTAGTAACTCTTGGATACACGAAATTTAGAACCAGGGTAATAATAGTACAGGGTAGATTTCGTGAATTAATTAATATATACATATTTTTTATTTGTTATTATGTATTAACATAAGATCCAATAACAAGTTAAAGTGGTGTACTTATCAATATATCTTAATAATGTTATAATATACAAATAATATATTAATTTAAAATTTAATATTATTAAAATAAAATAATATTATTACATAATTATTTGTCTATTCAAATTATTCAAATTACGATTACTTGTTTTATTTGAATAAGTTCTCAATGTACATAATTCAAATGCTCATTCATAACGAATAAAATAAATTATTGGAATAAACCTCACAAGTAGTAGTGTGATTTTAGTTTAAACATTATTGGCTGTGTGCCAGCTGCTAAATTTGGTGACCATAATAAATAATTTGGATCGCATGCATGCTTCCAATATCTATTGGCTGTAAATAACGATGTTATGGTTTATGATGATGACCTTACAACTCAACTTTAATTGTGCCAAGTGTAATTCGGGTACACAAATCATAATAAAAAAAATTTAATGGAAAATATATAAGGGGGTTATTTTGTGTTTCCACACGCGATACATTTTGTGTGGCTAAAAAAAAAAAATTTTTAAAATTTTAGAGGTGGAAAACATTTTAGATGAAAATAAACATCATGATTGACAATGATGATGAATATTCAAAGGAAAGACATGAAGTAGCTAAGTCATGTTCATTTGTTTTGTCTTGTTTTGTTTTATTAAAGATATATTATATTTAAAATATATAATTAATTTTCGATTATACATCTGTAAAACTAAGACTAATATAAATATATAAAAGAACGGTTGAAGTTTTTTATGCAACCAATTCCCCTGTTTGTATTTCCTTTATCAAGATTTTCATAATAAACTGAACACAAACTTTACATACATTCTTAACTTAATGCTAATAATATAACATAATTAATTATTGCGGAATATTTCACAACTCGTTTCTTCTCTAATAACACTGACCCTATCACAATTAATTATTCCTCCTTCATAACTACATCCATCATCTCTACTTCATCGGAACTTTCCTAGTTCTCTTGAGTATCAAAAGATGATGATTATCGTCTCCAATTAAATCAAAGATGTGTAATAAATATATCTAATAATTTGTAAAAACAAATGACGCAAAAATTAATATGATTGTTAAAGATATGGCATTTAATGCTATCACTCCGTAAGCAAATCAACCTAAAGGTGGAAACTTTCCCTAAAAGAAATATGTTGATTTTTGCATATATTATATAGGATGTGTAGCAACTTCTTTGTCTTTTTGTGCTGCATAACCAATGACTCCTTCAGTTTCAGTAATTGCGTCTTCATTAGTTTCGATAATTTTAAAGCCTGCAGAAGCAATTGTCTGTTGCTCCTGAAATAATTTCTTTTCCATGTTCATAGGTTTCTATTATTTCTGATTCTAGCTGTTTCGTTGTTCTCCTGCTTTTCTTGTTAATTAATTAAAAAATATTGTTAGTAATACTGTAATTAATGGATAGTAATTTCCAATTAATAATGAAATTTTATTCACCTTCAACATTTAAGAGAAGAGAGTTAATATCAATGCTAATTAATGAACTATCATTACTTGTATAACTTTTAAGTTATTTGATTTAGAAATTTCTTCATCTAATATTCTACTTAGATGATATGCATCTGAGTGTGATTTGTGTATTTGTTGTGAATCACTCCCACACTCCTGCTGCTACTATCATTATTTAAAATCAATTTCATCGTTTAAAATGACTATTCCGAAATTATGTAATAAGCCATCCCTGTTTCTCACGAATTACATCCAGTACTTTAAACTCAAACAGAGCATAAAACAGATATCCCCAGGTCATGTAAGCCCCCTCCCGGTAGGGAGGGGCCCGCCAAGGTTTTCTGGGTATTTAGTTATGTCAAAGCAAGGAACAA